TAATTTGGCTTTTTTATTTCATCGATTGATAAATGATTTATTTAACTGAACTGGTTTCAGCAGATAAGTATAATGAATTTGCATTTTTCTACCAAAACAAAGTTTCCAATATTAGATGTTATATCCTAGTAATTTATCGAGCACTGCCTCACATCCTGATGAAATCACAGTTCTCGCCTGTCATTTCTAAAGTCTTGGATCTCTTTGCTTCACCTCATTCCCACCAAAGTATTCAAATCTGTATCTCACTGTCTCACAAACCATTTCGAAAATATTTAGAAAACAGCTCTCTACAGTCTGGCCTTTTGTAATGACACGACCGGTGAAGAAAAATAACTTGGACTCATTAAGACTCACAGTCCTTATGATAAGTATCTATCAGGGTTCAGAACCAATCAGAGCACAGAAAAAGCTCTTACTAACGTCATGACCTGAGGATCATCATGGGGTCAAAACTAATGATGCCATTAACTGTTGGATGTCTCAGAAACTTTTAGGACGGCAAAGAAACAAGACACAAACAAACACAGTTCATCATACATTTCTCTGAAAGCCTTGGCACGATTAGTGACCCATCTCAAATTGACTCTGAGAAATTGATCCGTACATTCGTATCAAGTAGGTGAGATTATTGCCACGCTCTATTTGCAGGGGTCTCCAAATCACAATACCACAACCAGAATCTTTACAGGTACATTTGACCACACTGAAGCACTGAATGTAATACAGAATAACCCTGAAAATTCTTCTTTTAGTTAGCAAAGCTCTCAGTGGTTTGGCCCCCAGTACACCTCGGACATGCTCGCTGTCTACAACCCAGTCAGACCCCTCAGCTCATCAGGTTCAGATCTGTTCCCAGAACCGGATCTCAGTCAGCGGAGGCTGCTTTCACTTATTGTGCTGCTGTTCTTTACAACAAGCTGCCTGCTGACCTGACATCAGTTACATCTGCATTCACACAGGCCTGCACTCAGTAGGTGTTATTGCTGTTTTCATTGGCTTCAGACAAACTTTTTTCTGTGTTAAACACATTGAGTTTTCATGTAATGAAATGTTCAATATGAATAAAATCTGCTCTGATAGCTGTCTTTAGTCTGTGGGGTTTCTGGGTCCGCTGGTTCTTGTTCTCCTCTTCACAGACTCTCTGTGGGGTCCAGGTCAGGCGAGTTGACTAGACAGTCAAGCAAAGCATTCGGTACCAGTCGTGGCGCTGTGGGGAGGCTCTACGTAGGTCCTGCTGGAAAAGGAAATCAGCGTCTTCACAAAGCTAGTGAGCAGCTAGAAGCATGAAGAGGCAGACACCAGCAGAGGGTCACTCCTCCTCCACACTCTAGATTTCTAAATGAAAAGTAAAATTTACTTTGATTTGAAAAGAGGACTTTGGACCAGCTCCTTTTCTCCATAAACTCAACCTCAATCTAGAGGATTAGTTCCTGCTTAGGTCAAAGGTTCCCTTAGACAGCGAGGTTGAAGGAACCTGAAGCTGCTCTTCAGATGTCCCGTGTGTTATGGAGGGGGTGGGACTCATTGTCCATGATTACCAGGAGTCTTGTCCACGTTCTGTCACTGATCGCCTCCTCCGGGGTTTCGAGCTCTGTGCCAACAACAGACTGGGCCTTCCTGATGAGTTTGTCTGCGTCCTTTGCTTTGATGACTGCATAACAAAATCAGAGATAATGAGACAGGGGAAGGAAAGCTTACACAAGGCACGAGGACTATCAAAATAAGACAGGAAACACGACAAACAAAGAGACAGAAACCCAAACTCAAGACACACAAACTTGATGCAATAAGCACATGTTCAAGTTCAAGGAGACTGGAGGGAAACGCTAAAGGGAACCTTAAGCAACCTAAAGTCATCTAACATATTA